ATCCGAAAACTCTAGACGCTCGATGTCCGACAGTGTGGCAGGTGTCGGGGAGGCACGTGAGAAGATAAAAAAAAGTAAGGGAGGCGAAGACATGCGCTAGCCCAGAGGGCAACTTCTGTCCTTCCTTTTGTGCAATATGTTACTCTTTCCCCTAATTACCAGATCAAAACATACATATTTTTCTACAGCTTCAGCAACCGCCCATCATGTACTTGACTAACTACTCAGTACATGCATGCAAAGAGAAGGTAAGGTTTTTAGCAAGCATTCGTAAGGCTTGTCAGATTCCATTATATCTTTTCGCCTCACACGATACACACTGCACATCGTCTCACAGGTGTCATGTACCAGTTGCAAGACACTGCTGGAAGCACCGCGCACAAACCACAGTGCGTACAAGTACATGGCTGACCTGGATTCTGGAGGTCTTACCTATCCAACAGACGAAGCGACGTAGGTGTGCAGCACCGTTTGCACATTTGTCGAATTGGCACTTAAGACCCCAGAAGTGAGGCATTCAAGACGCATATCTAAGCTGCTCTACAGCACCCTGCTCTAGTATCTGCAAGATTGCAGTGTTATGTGGTCCAGCGATCACCAAATGATAAATGAACATAGCAGTGAGCTCTGCTCAGTTTTCTTTTTTTCAGAAGCTTTTACACCCTCTTCTTGCCAACTAGGTAGTCTGCCTAACCATGTCGGTGGAGAGGGCACAACATTATGTACACAAGCTGCTATCCAGAAAGTGTCTACGGTTTTGAGGAAGATGTGTGTCGCCTTTCTAAACATTTCTTTTGTTCGTGTTACGTATGTACTCAATGTTTTATTTGTAAATAAAACCAAATAGCTCTGCTTATTAGGAGGTAACAAGTAGTCTGCAGCTTGTAAGCTAGAATGAGGTTGCATGAATGATTATAGAGTGCAAACTCAGGCTGCGTTGAAATTGTGTATTGTATCCACCATACGGAAAGACAATTTAGAGAGGTAGTGTTATTCCCGAGTTGAGTTCTTCCGTGAGCATCGTACAGGCAGTAATTCCACGCATGAAGATGCTACAAGATGTCCGTTCCCATAGAAATCATCTAAAGCGTGAAGTCAACCCTTGATGGCTAAGCCGTTTTCAGAAACTGTGAAGCCTGATTTCTTGTAAAACTGACTGAATATGATACGCGTATGAGCCAATTAGCTTGCCATTTTATAAAAAAAAAAATGAACATTTGTAAGGCAGGCTGCCTTACAAAAGACAAGGGAAGCGACATTCCGGTCTCACCTGCACAAGGTCTTCACTGCGGACCAACTGGCAGCGTTATCGAAATCCAGCAACAGGGGGTTCAAATGGTCTAGTGAGACGGTGAAAAAGTTGTTGCAGATGCGATTCGCCTGTGGCAGCACGGGCTACGACTTGCTACTGGAGGGGGACTTCCCATTGCCGTCGTTTAGAACACTGCGGCGGCGACTTGAAGGTTAAGTTTGTTGTTAGGCTACTCAAGTGCTTCAAAGCTCCCTGTTGATTATTTGCAGATGTAATATCCTTGTTAGTAACTGTAGTGTTTTTGTATTTTACAAAATTTATTTTAAAATGGTGAGTTGGTGTCATGGTTCCTTTTTCACTTAGTTGCAGTGTGGTATGAAGAGGTAGATTATTCATATTGTGTTGGAATGATTCTCTCATCACAGGCATACTAGCACTAGTTTGACCTCAGTACCTTGCACGCGTCGAGATGTGAATTCAAGTTTAGACGGGGAGTGTTTTCTTCACTCCCAATTTTTGTAACCTTGCTGATGCAACCATGGAGGTAAATATGCTGGCCGATGTTCTGTAGCAGACGACCCAGCAGTGTAGAGTGGCGTGACGAGTGCAGGTGAAGATAGGAGGGACTCGTCAGCCTCGGCGGGCATCAATGTTTGCGGAGTATTGCAGCAGGCAAACCTGATAGTATTCCGTGCACGCTTTGTGGCGTTTCAGCTCATATTGGAGTGACAGTACAGGATAGTGTGAATGGTTCAGTGGGAGAAGTGGGTACATCTAGCAGTATGCTTTGCATGTTATATTTCTCAATTCAGAAATGACTAAGTCTTGATATATTGATTGGAACATGTCATAGCATCAGTAAAAACCTAAGATGCAAGAGGACAGAGAGGAGATAAAAAAAAAGAAGGACAACACATACACCATCTCGTTCAGTGTTGTCACTCTGTATCTGTGTCTTCTCCTAGCTGTCTTCCTGTGCCTAAGATTTAGTAATGTTTGAAATTCACGGTCTTGCCTGTGCCCTGATACGTTACAATATCTGCTATGTTACGGGTGAAGAGAGATGCCTAAATTGTTGCCATAGCACCCTATTTACAATGGCACGCAATAGCGTTTTAAATGTTTGGGATGTGTATGTATGTTGCCGTGACGAAAATCGTATAAATTATATGTTGTGTTCATATAAAATTTACTATAACTTACCTAATGCAGCATAAAATACCCCAGGTTAACTTCTTTGCCTTCCTTTCTGCCCTTCCTTCTTCCTTCTAATGCAGCAGTAGTCACTACTAACCATTCATGTTTAGAACTTTCTATGACACATGACAGATCATTTCGATGCATTTCTACTACCTGCCATTGTTATAGGCAAAATATTTGCCTTACTTTTTTATCTCTGCCATTCTATGTGCCATAAAATGCTGAGCATGTGCTCATTTCGCAATAGGTGCCCACCCCCCACTTTTGAACATTCAAAAAGTGATTACGAACATATCAAGCACCCAGGCCAGTAAACTTCTGAATGTATTGAGTGAAACAAGGCACTCCTCCGCATCAACCACATTTCCCAGTACGCTGGTGCAGAACGGTGAAGCTTTCCATGCACACCCCGGTAAGAACCAATGAAGCTTCACACGAGAGTGCCAGCACAAAGCTGGCTGGATGCAAGCGGTGCAACTGCTTTAAGAAAATGGGGGTCCCACCAGACCACAACACTGCTCCTGCATTGTTCTGTTGCACCGTTTTGACTTTCAGCTCTGGAACCTGCAAAAGTGCCCATCCCATATTTTTTACAATTATCTCCAACCATTTGATGAGATCTTTCTCAATATTTTAAGGCACATAGCTTCTGGTAGGAATGCCAGTTTCTGGTAGGAATGCCACTTTCTTTGTCTTAAAAACCAGCTGGTGGAGTACCTGCGAAACTCTTGAAAACCCATAGACAAACTTGGGGATTATGATTCTAACCCATAGTTCATAAAGCAATTGTGGTAAGAATTGTATGTTATACCAAGAGCACAATAACACTGATCTTGGGAAGCTGTCCTTAACCACATATTTTGATTTCATACATGCAGGACATGCCATTTACTGCAAAATTAACAGGACACCTGATCATGGCAAGTCATCTTGAGTATTTATCATTCTTCTGTTCTTTTTGGGACGAGTTATGAGCGGAATCCCCTTGCTTGAATGGGAACAATATAAGGCTTAAAATTTCACTGTTAATTATTTTTCAGTAATTTTTAATACATTTTAAATAACTTTTTATTACTAATGAAAGACACAGGACTTGTTTATACTAACACCTCTTTTTATTGTAGGCTGCAAGTCTGCAAGCAAATATCAAAACTTACCAATTTTAAATTAAGGAGTGCACAAATCATTCTTCTCTAAGAAGCTTAAAGGCTTTACTGAAGATTGGTACTCGGATAAATGACACTGCCTCACACTATTATAATAAAATGTCATGCTTTTTGTAGTATTTGAATTTTTCCATTTTAGTAATTGCCACACTAACCAGATGGCGCCACTGACCGCCACACCATATCGCTGTAGCCAGGCGGCGCTACACTTTATCCATTGGGCCGTGCGCCCAGGTGGATCTCCCCCGGGGCGGTTGGCCCCCGGGTTGTTTCCCTCTAAATAAAAGAGTGCGTGTTCTGACCTCGGCCGATGTAGACGTCCCTTCCTTCCGGGTCGTTCCCGCCTCGGACCCGCCGGTGTTCGCCGCCCCACCTCGGCATGTGAGACAACATCTTTCAGCAGGCCGCCTCGGCGCTGCTTCTTTTCCTTTCTTTTTTTTATTTATTGGGCTCTCCGAATCACAACATTTTTGGCGAAGGAGGATGGGATTTTCTTTGTTTTCCGATTCGGAAAACAAAGGCTTAGCCCCGGCAGCCGGTGTTTCACGTCCTTTGTCTTGCGACGCCACGTTTTCCCGCGTGAGGTGTGCCGGATTGGGCCCCGGCAACCTCTCGTTCCCGTTCAACGAAATTCTTTTCCCGTATCCGTTTCGCCGGATTGGGCCCCGGCGGGCGTAAATTTTTTTTTTGCGCATTTCGTGGAAAATTTCTTTTTCTTTCCACTTACGTTTTCGAGCAGCGTCGCGCCGTTGGGTTCCGTTGCGGAGCTTTCAGACGGCTCGCGTCCTATACTAAGGTCTGTCTGACGGTAGTGGGCTGGGCTCTTTGTGAATCCTGTCCCCCACAGGATTTTGCCTTTGTCCCCGGGCGTCGAGGTCGGGACCGTACTCCGCGTAGGCGTTGCGTGTATTACAAATGTCACCATACATAGTTGTCTTTTGTTAGTATCTTAGGCGCACATGTAAAAAATCGTTGTAAAACCCTTGTCGAGTGAAAGACCCGCGGAAGCTTGTCGCGGCGTAAGGGAGCGCATAAGGCGCGTTCGCTCCGGTGAGCGAGTGGTGACGTAAATTTAGACGCCTTCAGTCGTCGGATGCGCGCGGCGAAGAGAGAAGCCGCTCTGCTGCGGAGTCGGCAGGTTGAAATGATGCGAAGGATGCGCGTTGAGAACACGCGTTGAGCCTAGACGAGGGTTGGCTCCTCGACAAAATGTGGATTGCTTAGCGGTTAAAGATCGCGAAAGGAGTACAGGGCCTGCGAGGAAACGAGGTCTTTGCATGCCGGTAGTCGCCATAAAGTCTTAAAGCGGTGGGCCGCGAGAACAAAGGAAGTCTTGGTCCGTTGTGTCCAAGATGGCGGCTCCACAGGGTCGCGTTCCCGCCGATTTCCTCCCCACGCCCGGCACGCTGGTAATGCCGTGGCTTACGTGGAAGCGTGGCTTCCTTAACTATCTTGAGGCGACTGACGCCGACGGTTTTCCGTCAAAGCAGAGAAGGGCGATCTTGCTGTCCTTTTTGGGAGAAGAAGGGAATCGCGTCGTGGATGCGTTTGGCCTCGCTGGCCCGGCCGTTGGCGCGGCCCAGGTTGAGTTTCAGGTGTTATTGTCCGCTCTGGACACTCACTTCGCTTCCGCTCAGAACGTTGTCGTCGAACACAGGAAGTTTGTCACAAGGGTGCAGGGCCCAGGGGAGACGGTCCTGGAGTATCTTGGGGCGCTTCGGCGCTTAGCCTCGTTTTGCGACTACGGAGAGTCGTTGGAAAGCCGCGTCGCGGAAATGTTTATCTCGGGAATCCGTAACGCGGAAGTCCAAGATCGTCTTATCAGAGAGTCCGGTGGAGCTCATGCACCGAGCCTCGAGCGTGCTGTCCAGCTGGCGCAGCAATTCGAGTGGACGTCTCGTGATTGCGATCTTTTCCGACGCTTATCGCTAGACGCAACCCCGAACGCGCCGCACGTGGTCGAGCGGATCCAAGATGGACGCGGTCGCGACCGAGATGCTCAACATGGCGGGCAGCCTCCCCGCCGCCGCGGATCTTCCCCCCCGAGGCGTGAGCGTCCCCTTCCTCCTCCCCCGTCTCCGTCACAGCGAGAGCCCTCCTACTCTTCCCTTCCGAGGCGGGGGCCTCCCTCTCCTCCGTCGGGACGCGCGCGGACTTTCCCTCTCCCGCCGCGTCAAGACCGCCGGCAGTTGCGAGCTCCCTCCCGCCCGTTCTCCGGTGCGCGCCCACGTGACCCTCCCCCCGGGGCGCGTCCTCCCGTTCGCGAGGGCGGATGTTTTTTTTGCGGAAGACGGAGCCACCCGCGGGATGAGTGCCCAGCATCGGGAGCCACATGCTTCTTGTGTGGCCGTGAGGGACATTTTGCAAATGTGTGTCGAAGCCGACCGAGGGGCGACCGGGATCATCGACAACTGGCCCTTCCTGCTGGCCGGCGGGTCTCTGCCCGCGGCTACTACGACCGTCGCCAAGCTGGTCCGACACGCACACCCGTGCGAGGCGTCTGCACGTTCTCGGAGTATGACGAAGACGAGATGTGGCCTGGCGTTTACACGGTGGGGTCACCCGGTGGTCGCCGGGAGCAGCGACCTGGTCCCCAGCGCCGGAGTTTCACGGCCGATGTAGAGGTGAACGGCTTCCCTATTTCCATTCTCATCGACACCGGTGCTGAGGTCTCCCTTCTCTCGGATGCGACTTTCAACCGCATCAATCGGAGCGGCCGCATCAAGCTTTCAAAGCCGCCGCGCACTTTAGTGCACTACCTAAAGGGTTCCATTCCCGTTTTGGGATGCTTTCACGCAAACGTCGTCTTCAAGGATCGCTTCGCGACCATTCTCTTCTACGTTGTACGCAACGGCCGTTCACTACTTGGAGTGGACGCGGTACATGACCTCAAAATGATCTTGTCTGGCGTACCGCTAAAATGTTTCCACATTGACGCAGCTGCTCCCGGAACAGCCGTCCCGGGACATGTAACCGAGGCTGAGGTCCCGCAGCCATCGTCCACGGCGGACGCAAGTTTGCCACTCCACTCTTCTGGTGCCTTTGGTACTTTGTCGTCGGCTGTCCCCGCAGCCCAAGGTCCATCGACCTCGTCCAGTGGCCGTTCTCCGTCATCGGTGAGCGATCATTCCACGCTTCCTCCCGGTTTTGAGGAGTTTGAAGAACTTTTTTCGTCCGAGTTGGGTTTGGTTGTAAACCAAACACATACAGTCACTGTCCGTCGTCATGTTCCGCCCGTTCAGGCGAAGCTCCGTCGTCTACCGTTCACGCTGCGCGAGTCCGTAACTGCCGAGATCCAGAAACTCAAACGTCAGGGCGTGATTGAGCGCGTCAGCGCCTCCGAGTGAGTCTCGCCCATCGTGGTCGTTAAGAAGAGAGACGGCGGTATCCGCATGTGCGTCGATCTCCGGGCTCCCAACCGCGCGGTCGTGATCGACTCATTCCCACTACCGCATATCGACGAGCTCCTGAACTCGCTCAGAGGAGCATCTTGTTTTTCAAAACTCGACCTTGCGTCGGCCTACCATCAAGTGCGACTCGACCCCAAGAGTCGAGACCTTACAGCGTTCATCACGCATGAGGGTTTATTTCGCTTCAAGCGAGTCTGCTTCGGCTTGGCCTCCGCGCCAGCCGCATTCCAACAAGTTATGTCAAAGATCCTTAAGGACTGTCCTGGTGTACAGTTCTACTTAGACGACGTGATCGTTTACGGATCATCACCTCAAGAACACGACGCGCACTTGCGCGAAGTCCTCCGACGGATCAAGTCCGCTGGCATGAAACTGAACAGAAAGGCGGTTTTCCGCGTTCCAACCTTGTCTTTTCTCGGCCATAGTCTATCCGCGGAAGGCGTAGCGCCCCTTCCGTCCAAGATAGAAGCCGTTCTGAACTTCCCCTCACCGTCCGATCCAACACAACTCAAGGCATTCCTCGGTCTAGTGGAATATTATAGCAAATTCATTCCACATTGTGCGACAGTAGTCGAACCGATGCGTCGTTTGTTGCGCAAGGGCAACTCTTTTTCTTGGACTCCTGATGTCGAGAGCGCCTTCCAAGAAGTCAAGACAGCTCTCCAGAAAGCACCCATCTTAACAATGTTTGACCCGACTTTGCCGGTCATCGTATCAACTGATGCTTCGAACTACGGCCTCGGAGCAGTTCTGCAACAACAGCACGGGCAGAAGCTCAAGACCGTGGCCTTTGCAAGCCGTTCCTTGACGGACACGGAGCGACGGTACTCCGAGGGGAGAGAAGGAGGCCCTGGCGATCCTGTGGTCGTGCGAGAAGTGGCATACTTACCTCTGGGGAAGGCAGTTCACCATCCGCACTGATCATCGAGCACTCGTCACCCTCATGTCTACGCAGGGCACCGGAGTCCGACCGCTACGCATCAGCCGTTGGACGGCCCGGTTGTTCAACTACAACTTCCTGATGGAGTACCGCAAGGGTACCGACAACACCGTCGCAGATGCACTGTCCCCTCTGCCCGTCAGGGACACAGAAGACGGCACCAAGTTTCCTGAGGAAGTGGTTTCCACAGTCTGCGCCTCACTAAACCAGCGCGACTTCCAAGATGCAACAGCTCGTGACCCCATTCTACCGAAAGTCATGGAGTACATCTCTACAACATGGCCAGCTGAAGACAAGCTGCCTCCAGGGTTCAAGCCCTACTTCGCAGTCAGAGAACAGCTGTCACAGGTAGATGGACTGCTGTTTAACGCCGAGAAGATCATCGTGCCGACCAGTCTACGCGACCAAGTCATCGAGATAGCGCATGAGACGCATCAAGGGATCACGAGGACCACAGGACTTATCAAAGAACTCTACTGGTGGCCTCAAGTATCTCTCCACATCAAACAATACGTCCGACATTGCACCATATGTCAGTCTACGGACAAACCAGCAAAGACATTCCGAGCACCTTTACAGCCAGTCGATTTTCCATCTCGTCCTTGGACGAAGTTAGGTATGGACATCGTTGGTCCGTTCGAACGCGCTCCGCGCAACGAACGTTTTTTCATCACCCTTGTGGATTACCACAGCAAATGGCCAGAGGTCATGAGCGTCCACAACGTCACGACTGCGTCTGTGGTAGACTTCCTGAAGCTCGTCTTTGCACGAGAGGGGTTGCCGGAAGAAATCGTCACCGACAACGGCCCCCAGTTCATCTCCAGGGAATTTACAGAGTTCCTCAAGAATCAAGGTATTCGTCATCTCAGGTCATCCCTGTACCACCCCCAAGCGAATGGGCAGGTGGAACGTTTCAACCGTGTTTTGAAGTCCACCATACAGTTGGCTGTCGTCCAGCAACGCAACCTCAGAGAAGCAGTCACGGAGTACTTAGGAGTGTACCGTGCCACTCGCCATGCTGCAACGGGAGAAACTCCCGCGTTCCTGCTTCATGGCAGGAACCATCGCAATCGTCTTCATCTTTCGGGGCGTCCAGTCCCCGACCCTCAAGTTCCAAGGTCCACAGTCCAACAAAGACTTCCACAAACAATCAAGAAATATCAAGAACGCATGAAGATGTACTCAGACAGAAGGCGTGCTGTCAAGCGGCCTACATTCATTCCTGGACAGACTGTCAAGGTCAACAAGCCTCGTCACCGAGGAAAGTTACAGATGAAGTATGCTTCTCCTCAGAAGATCCAAGATCAAGTGGGTCCAGCTACATACCGGCTGGACGATGGATCCACGTGGCATGCGTCCAAGTTGACGCATACAACTCTTCAACCTTCATCAACCAGAGCATCTTGGTTCCGGGAAGATTTGTACCCCCCGGACCCCCCTTTTTTTCCTACAGTTGTTCTGCCCACAGTTCCGCCGGCTCCCCCAGAGCCGCCTGTGCCTGTCCTTGGTCCGGCTAGCCCGGACACCACCAATCCAGATCCTGCGGGTCAACGTCCTGACCCTGGCCTGAGTCCTGAGGCCCCCCCTTCCCCTCCTGAGGGTCCTGTTCCAGCTGGGAGTCCCCCTCCCGTTCCCGAGGGTCCTGCTGAGGTGCAACCGGTGCCTGAGGAGATTGCTCAGCCCCCTGAGCACTACCAGTCTCCTGGGATGTCCCCAGATAACAGCTGGTCAGCTGCCAGCTGGTCAGCCAGCCGTACAGAGACGGCAACTGAGAGTGCATCTTCCAGCACCTCCTTTGAGGGTGCACCAGAACCAGTGCCAGTGCAATCACCTGTGAGTGTGTCTTCACCACCAGTCACGACACAGCCCACATCTCCCAGACCGGAGCCTCTTGAGCTTCAAGATGTGGATGTTTCAACGCCCCAGCATCAAGGTCGTCCGCAACGATTACGCAGACTGCCAGAACGATTTAAAGATTACTTAGTGAACTGGTACGAAACCAGTCCCAAGTTAAAGGAACTCTTAGATTAATTTTTTTTAAAGAGTGCATACTAATGGATACTTCAAATCCACCTGAGTGAATTTCTTTTTTCTTTGTGTGGTGACAACAGACATTTTAGAAGACAACTATTTTCAGTGCTAGTACATGTCCATGAACATTTTTTTTAAAGTGAAGTGTTCGATTTTATTTCCTGCAGCATGCAGTGAGCATTGTATAACTGGCTACTCGCCCAGTATTTTTGCCAAATGTCTTTCCCAATTTTCATTTTTGCCCTAAGGTTTCATTCAGCCTTCAGGATGTCATATGTTTTACACCGCATTTTGTCGCGTCGCTTAGGCACCATTGTCGTAATTGTCAAACTATGCTTTGCATTTTCCATTTTGTCTCCATTGAACACTTTAACTGATACAGTAAGTTCAGCCTTTTCTTTCCCCAGTGGTGTTTGCTTTTGTCTCAGAGACTATAGCTGCTTTTGTACAGACAGCCTTCACATTTTTTTCCTAAGAGAGGGAAGGATAGGCATTCATTTTCTTTTAAGGAAAGGAAAGTGTAGTATTTGAATTTTTCCATTTTAGTAATTGCCACACTAACCAGATGGCGCCACTGACCGCCACACCATATCGCTGTAGCCAGGCGGCGCTACACTTCATCCATTGGGCCGTGCGCCCAGGTGGATCTCCCCCGGGGCGGTTGGCCCCCGGGTTGTTTCCCTCTAAATAAAAGAGTGCATGTTCTGACCTCGGCCGATGTAGACGTCCCTTCCTTCCGGGTCGTTCCCGCCTCGGACCCGCCGGTGTTCGCCGCCCCACCTCGGCATGTGAGACAACATCTTTCAGCAGGCCGCCTCGGCGCTGCTTCTTTTCCTTTCTTTTTTTTATTTATTGGGCTCTCCGAATCACAACACTTTTGCTTTAACATTTGTGGTACTCTGTTTTCCCCTCTAATCTGTGGTACATGCCTTAATGCTTTCTATAACTGTGAGGGGATGTCCGGATCGCCAAGTGGAGAAAGGTAATGTACTCCAAAATTTATGAAGAGAGAACAGGCTCTAAGAATTCATTGTTAAAAGTTTACCTTTTGTCGCCCGATTTAAAAGAAAAAAACATGCACAAGAAGTTGCGCCGATAATGGTAGAAGAGTAGCGTAGTAATTCCGTAAACACGATATTTAGGAGGCGCATCCACCAAGGACACGCTGTCGATATATTTGAGCATCCTAAACAACAATGTTATTCTTCTATGTATCATCCTTAGTGCAATTTCCTGTGCTCTTTCCAGCATGCCATTTGACCGTTGACCAACAAAGTTGCTCTGCTCTCTCTCTGAAAGCATGTTTTATACCTTTTGTGAGTGACTCAAAATAAATTTGCATACTGGTAGCTGTGTGTGTTTCTTTTTATGTAGCACCACATTATAATTCGTTGGGAGTAGTTTATAGTAGACTCCGTGACTAATGAAAGAGAAGTTTAGGCATACTAAGATGTGATTCTCGGTATAGTGGGCACACCTCTATAGCGCAGATTTTTTTTTAAATTCAGGAGTGCAAGTTTTATGGAGGTGCTAACAAAAACACTTGGCACTATGCATGTGTTGCTGAAAAATTACCTGCCCATTCACCTCGTCTGGACAGAATGATAAAAGGTAAATAAAAATGATCACACTGACG